GCCCTAAACCCTAAACCCTAAACCCTAAACCCTAAACCCTAAACCCTAAACCCTAAACCCTAAACCCTAAACCCTAAACCCTAAACCCGAACAAGGAGGCCGACAAAGACTGCTCCCCGAAGTGTCCAAAGTGCCCAGTTTGAGGATGTTCAATGCCTAACTAGGTTGGCCTTTACAGCATCTGAACAAATTCGCAAAGAAGATCCTCTTAAGCCCAGTAAGAGAAAAGGTAAATTATCCCAAAGGCCTATCTAGCTCATTGCAGTCTGCGGGGCCGACAACCTACTCTTTCGGCATTCGACCCTCGAAGCCCCATCATCGAGGCAAGTCTCTGTGCGCTCCACACTGCCCGCTGCTTCTTCCTCTCAAGTTGAGCTCTAAACCCTAAAAAAGACCCTATAAGCCCTAAGCTCGAAGCTCTAAGCATTAAACTCTAAACCCTTCAACCCCAAACTCTTCTTCCTCTGCAGTCGAACCCTAGACCCCGAACCCTACGTAAACCCTTAAACCCTAAACCTTAAACACTTCTATAACCCTCTGAACTCTGAGCCCTTAAACCCTAAACCCTTCTTCCTCTCAAGTCGAGCGCGTTTTGCCAGCAACTTGGCTTCGAAGTCGTAGGGAGCGTGGAAGTCCTTGGCGCAGCTGATGTCGATGTCAATCGCACCTTAGTGATCTTTGGCTGGGGTACATAACCGTGCTATTTTTAAAGGTATTCTATTTCGGCTTATATTTCTGGGTCCTTAAAAGCGAGCGCCAGGCCGGGCACCTTGCAGAATGATGGGTACCGCTGCCACGAAAGCGGCGATGTTCGTACCGCAGTTGGCTGGGACGTGGAGGTTGCCAGTGCAGGATGACACAGACGACGTGAACAAGCCGGTCAGTAGCTGGGAATTGAACATGGCAATCAAGATGCTGCTGGTGCAGAGCTCTTTCTCCAAAGACGTGGGCCCTCGGCCGTTGAGTCGTCGAATCTTATCATAATCGCAGTTCCTAGTCGACGCGTAGATGGCATTGGACATCTGAATCACTCGGCTCACCATCTGCGCTACATCCATCGTGCACACAACTTTCTGCACATCCGGCCCGAGTGGGCTTAAGCCAATCCTTAACTGTCATGGGCGTTAAAGCAACATAATAATCACGCCCAGAAACCGCAGAAGCCCGCAACTGGGTCTGTGCAGGGTCGATTGACTTCAAGACCCCTGTACTTGAGCATCCCGTTATAAGGATCCGCGTGATACTTCCGGGATATGGTGACTGGAATATCTCATTTTCTCGAGAGGTGTACCTGGGCAAGAAAAGCCGGATTAGGGTCTACTAGGGCCATGAGGCCCCTCAATTATAATTCGAGTAGGATTACTGTATACTAATAAAGCCTAGTAGGACTCCTGTATGCTTCTATATTCAGTGCGGAGCAGTGGCAGAGGCCTCGGCCCAGATTGCAAAAAGAAAAGTCGACAAGGTCGGCGCCAACCACACCTGCAGCCCCTAACCCCACAGGCCTAGGGCTTCCATTACACAAATAATGCCTACCCATTCGTGCCTAGCTTGAGCGGTTTGGTAGTAGCTTATGAGCCCTTAATGATGTACAACAATGAGAAAAACATATATACACATACACATATATGTTGTATAGACACACATACATACATACATACATACATACATACATACATACATACATACTGTGTTCACTAGGGGCCCCGCCTTATGGGCAAAACAAAACGGATACCCAGCTGGATCGCAGAAATGTAGTGAAGCCTCAACAAAAGCCACTAGCACGGACTTTCTCCACTATGTACGCTTCTGCAGAGAAACGCGAGAGAGGGCGAAAGAGTGAAGGCTTAGGTTTGGGTAGGGTTGCACGTCGGCTATCAGAAGCAATGCCCTCGCGACCCTTAAGCTCCATGACTGCACCCCACCTCGAAACAAGCTAACACCTTTAGCCTGCACAGGGCGAATGGGCATCTGCTGGCAAACCGAAAGTTGTCAATTAATCACTAGCGCGTAGCTAGCGCGTCACTAGCGCGGAAATTTACAACTCTTCCTCCCAAAGGCATCCTATGATACAAACTTCTTATATTCTGCCACATTGGGGTTTCATGTGCACACACTCGGGATCCGCCTCACATCGAAGAGGACAAAAACCTGCTCCAAACATAATAACTATGGCCACGTCTATCTTGATTCCTTTGCCGCCCTTTTTGACAACACCCCACATACACACATACGTAACCCTTCAAAATAGAAAATCGTTGGAGCCACAGGCACGACCAAACGCTGAGGGACCCAGCTGCACAGATTAAGGCGGCCATGAAAAAAACGACGGCAGTCCGCCACCAGCATCGCGGGTTTGGACTGACCTGGACTCAGGGCAGTGTTTTGTTCAGTGCTTAGGCTTCAGGAATGAACGCCCCAAATGCTGCGGGCGTTCATCGCTACAGCATAGCATGTTCCAAAAAAAGCATGCAAACATTTTGTGCGCTACAAAAGCAGACCCCTGTTAAACTAGGGCTTCGCGAGTTTCTGTGCATTTTTAATATTGGGGGCTAAATGGAGCACTACAACATTCAGATCTCTATAGTATCCTGGTACGTATGTTTGCAAACCCTCGAAAGTTCAAGCCCTCTGAGCCCTAGCGCAATCCTTCAACGCAACCCCCCCCCGCCCCAACAGCATCCTAAAAATTGCAATGTCCAAAGCCTGGAACCTTGGAACACTGATTACAGTCCTAAACCTTCACAGAACACTCTAGAACTCTCACAGAGCCCATGTAAAATCCTTATAGAACCCTCTTGATGGGTCAGACCTGTCATGTACAGCATTTTGAGTTTAGTGCCATCGACCCTGGTCTTTGCGGAAGCCAAACAGACACATGTTTTGGAGCAGCAAGTGCTTGCGTGTGAGAGAGAGAGAGAGACAGAGTGTCTGTGAGTGTGTGAGGAGTGTGATGAGAATGAGAGCGAGAGCGAGAGCGAGAGCGAGAGTGAGAGTGAGAGTGAGAGTGAGAGTGAGAATGAAAGTGAGAGTGAGAGTGAAAGTGGGAGTGAAAGTGAGAGTGAGAGTGAATGAGAGAGAGTGAGGAAGCGAGGAAGACGGAATGAGAGAAAGTGCACCACAGCGCGGACCTTCCGAAATGGCAAAGCCGGGGCATCTTCCCCCGACGCATCCGAATGAGGGTCTGCGAGGCTACTAGGCATGGCAACCGTCGCTTTGGAATCGGTTGCCAACTACCGAAGCCTAAACCCGAAGGCCATGACTCGGGTTCAGGTTTTCAGGGTGCACGCCCGAATCTCTGAAGCCGGAGAAGCTCGGAATGGTCAGGGCGTAGTGCGCTGCGGCTATGTCTACGCTTCCTGCTTCTTGGGCTTAGGGTGTCTCTCGAGGGTTTGCATGCGACATGTTTAGAATATGACAATCAGAAACGATCCTAGAGAATACAGTCCTGAGCAAAAACACATAACAACCATGAACACCACTGTAGCACTACAATACTATAACAATACTATATCACAGTACTACCACTTTGCTAGAACAGTACTTTTATACCACTGTTATCGTATTATTCTGACAGGAACTAACGGGAGAAAGCTCTGCGTGGTCATGTCGGCGAAACCCCTCGCACCTGCAGAAACCGCTCCTAGAGCTTGAGCATTAAATCACGGTGCAGGGTTTAGGGTCTGTAGGGGGCAGGGGTTAGGGTTTAGGTTTGGGCCCAGCCAAGGCCACTCTTCTGTAAGCCCATCATAAAAGCAAGTATTCTAGTACCCCTTTGACCATTATAACCCTCATGTAACTCAAACCCTTCAAAACTGAAGAGCCAAAGCGGTGAGCCCTTGGACGAGCGTGTCGCGCACGCGCATCCTCCCTGCTAGCTATCCCTCCGCCCCCAATATGTAGGCCTAGTTTGGTGGGAGTGCGGTTCTGGCTTTGGCAGGGTTGCAATTACAAACCTGCAAACTCGAAGTTTGTGTGTGTGTGTGTGTGCGTGCGTGCGTGTGGGTGTTTGTGGGTGTGTCTGGGTGTGTGTGGGTCTGTGTGTGCGCGTGCGCGCATGATTGTGCATGTGTGCGAGCGCGCGTGTGTGCGTGCGTGCGTGCGGGCGTGGGTGCGTGGGTGGGTGGGTGGGTGGGTGGGTGGGTGGGTGGGTGGGTGTGTGGGTGGGTGGGTGGGTGGGTGTGTGTGTGTGTGTGTGTGTGTGGGTGTGTGTGTGTGTGCGCGTGCGTGCGTGTGTGCGTGCGTGTGTGCGTGCGTGTGTTGGTGTTCTGTTTGGCGGGAGAGTACAAGGAGGGTTTGGTAAGACTGCTGTTTGGACCAACCGAGTTAATGAAAATGTGTCTTTTTTGGGCGCTTTCTTGCTTGCTAAGCAAACTAATCCCCAAGCCCCTAGATCCCTTAAACCCATAAATTTAACTCTAAACTCACAAACCCAAACCCCTTAAGCCCTAACAAATCCTTAAGACCAAAACGTCTTTAGTAGTTCCGCCAAACCAGAAGCCCTGAAACCGAAGGCACCTAACACAAGTTCAGATTCGCGATTGGCGGCCAGGCCACAATGACGAGGATCATCGTGTCAAACGGTGTTTTGAGATATTATGACATTCGAAGAATTTAGAAGGGTAAAGGGTACTTACCCCTGATATTTTTGTGAGGAGCTCCCTGCCTCATGCAAACCCAAGCTGTTCCACGAGCGCTTCGACCCCCGAATCACCAGCCCCAGGCGAGCTCTGGGCTGAAGGCTTGATGGTTTAGGGTTCAGGGTTCCTCGAAGCATTTCCGCAAGCTCTACATTGGACTCTACATGAGCAACTCGACAGTACAAGTACCCATCTGAAGCTGTGTTTCAGCGTGCTTCACCAACACCTACGCAAGGTTCGCGTACATTTCTGAAAAAACCTTTCCATTTTGTTTGAAGCCGGTAGGGGAGTTGACCGTGACGACTTGTCTGCAAAACCGAGGGGATTGCGCCAATCTGGAGCTTCCCAATATGGGAAGACTCAGCGCGGAAAGCATCTGCCTTAGACGTGCTGCAGGATGTATCGGCGAAGGTTCTTAGCAGAAAACTCAGGCGCCCATCACATATATGAGTAGGATTATAGATACTTCAATTAGGGTTGCAAGGAGCTCTAGTTCCCGTTTTGCGAAGCCGAACAGGTGTAGTAGGCCCACCGAAGAGCTTCTCTCATCACAACACGGGGTTTCGGGGTAAGCCTAAAACCTAAACTATAAAGCCCTACCCAGGAGGGGTCCCATACTCCTCGTCCACAGGCATTTGAGGGGTCAACTCAAACATATGCTGCAAAAACACAGGGTTTCGACGCTAGGTTTTAGGGTCTGCTTTTCGGGTCTGAGGGTTTACAGGGTCCAAGGTTCAGAGTCTGGTATCTCCTGAAGCTAAGCCCAGCCGCATGCAAAACACCACGACACAGTCACGACACCTGCCATCACGGCAGCAAACACCACTGCCCCGGGGACCGACGTTCCTGGATCCAGCAGAACCTCCAACAGCACCAGGCCGATGAGAACGAACCTTTTTGCTAACAAGGTCTCAGGCTTTCCAGCGAGTAGGCTGTGAGGCTAGGGCCATCCCTATGCTAAACCCCATAGCGGCTACAAGCCTATCAAACAGCAAAACCTCTAATTGCTGCACCATCAACCCCACGAAGCCTACTACTCGGCACATTCTTCTCAGAACTCTCAAAGTCAGTACGGTACTATAAACAAATACCAGATTTTTACCTTGTAAGGGTACAAACGAATGAAAAAAGCAGCGCACGACCTGTCAGGAAGAGATGTTAGCTCCGCTTTCAGAGGCTGAGGTCGACTGCAGACCCTAAGTCCCAAAAAGTCCTCAGTACTGTAAGAGTTCCAAAGGTTTTCCAGCCTAGGGCTAAGGACCCTAAGTACTTCTATGATAGATGCACAAACCACAGTCGGAAGATATCGGAAGACTGTAAACCCAGAAACCTAAAGCTATGCTAAAGGATACAGCGCATGATGGGGGGTACACCGCAAAAGTTGACTCCTGAAATCTGAGAAGTTAAACAAACTGACAGAACACAAGGTGCGGGGCTTAGGCTACGCCCTGCTATGCCGCGAACCTCTAAACTCTGGACCCTACCTAAAGGTAGTTTACTGGTTAGTATCGGCTATATAAAGAGTCAGGTACCCTAAACGGGGCCGAAAGGTAGTCTCCAAACAGCAAAACCGTTCCACTGTTCACTTAGCCCCACCTGTCAGCACATTCTGGTCAGTCTTTTCATGTTGTATTTCTTCCATCAGAGAGAAGGAGCTAGAGAGAAAAAGGGAGAAGCCAAACTTTATGGAGGAGTGTGCAACAGGGATGAATGTGTGGCCAACGTGGCCAGGAGATTGGGGTTGTTAAAAAGGTTCTTGCTTGTGGGCCTGGGGCGGCCTTGGGTAGAGTTGAAAATAAACGCCGAAGCCAATCCAAGAAGCGAGGGAATGATCATGCTGCTGGAGGTGACGAGGAGTTCTATCGCGAGATACTGGCTGTATCGGTTGCGCAATAGCCAGCACAGGGCGAGGCCGTGAATGAGAACAGTTGGTTCAAGGGCCAGCCACCATACTAAGGCCCGCAACCCTGCCAACACCACTTTGGTGAGAGCGGCGTTTCCATTGAAGACTTCTCCATTGATGACTTCCCACACAACCAGGTCCATGAAGTACCAGGAGACACAGCTGGCGACGGCACAGAAATGAGAGTACACAAATCCAACGCTAAAAATCTGTCGTAAGAGTGTCGTGCGCACTCGCCCGCGGACTTCCCGCTCGAACTTCTCGATGCTGCCGAACCAGCTAATAATGACCTCGTGCAGAATTTTTCTGTCACACAGCAGTGGCCTTCCGGTGCCACTCTCAATATGATCGCAGTCACAGCAAGTGCAGTGAGTATCCTCAATGTGAAAATTCTCCAGCTGCTTTTGGAGCGTGTCGATGCTCCGACAGAACAGTCGGAGGAGGTGAGTAGAGACCAGTAGACAGGAAGAAGAGACAATCATGACAATGCCAAGAGTTCTTGGCCAGTAAATGACGTGGTCCTCAGCAAAGTTGCTGGAAAATGCCAAAGTCGCAACCGTCAGGCCCAAACTGATTGCCAGAAGAACTGGTCCCAGCACAGTAGGCCGTATCAGCAACCTCACTTTCTCGTTGGCAGGACGGCTGTGCAGAAAGGCCGCCAACTCAAATACACACCACAATCCTTAGTTTTCGATCATCAAGAAAGCTCCAAACAAGATGTTGCGCAAGTCTTAGTCTTAAACCCGAAGCCTGACACAGGTTTACGCGGCAAAACTTCATAAACCAGTACTTCACTACTCAGACCAGCCCTCCCTAAAGTTTCTTCCAATGTCTGCAACTACTACTCCCAAACCCTTGCACAGCAAGAGCACAAACACCTCACAGTACGAGTATGAACCACATGAAGCCTGCGGCAGAGAGTAAATTTCAGACCTTGAAACATAACCTCAACCTTACTTCGACCGTTAATTGTCTACCTCAAGCTTCTCATAAAGTATTTAGCTTTAGCCCATGGTCCTTGACATCCAGAAGCTCTACAGCCCTAACCCTAAACCCACATGCCAATTATTTTAAAACATGACGAAAAACAAAACAAACTCAGTTCCAAATCCATGGATAGGCTAATGCCCTCGTAAACCTGCGATGCCATAAAACTCTGCTCAAGCAACGCCTTGGGTCGGTTGGCCCACGTTGGATCCCACATGACAAGCATGCCCTCCGATCGCTGCCTCAGAGTTTCCCTTAAACTGCTTCGGTTTCGGATTTGGAGAGTCAGGGCTTGAATTCTTCATTGCGAAACCCATGTGAGAGCGAAACCAAGCTTACAGAATGTACAGACTGGATTACATGCATAAGCAGACGCGCACTCACATGCACACGTATACCACTCGTCCACGCCCGTCTGCCCTCATACTAGATATCTCAGAGTCTCAGGCCCTGTGCCTCATGAACCCCACACAAAGTGATAGTGACACACCCCTGAATCCCGTTTCGCCCTAAACCCTAAACTCAGATCTTACACTTGTTTAACCCAAACCCTAGCCACAAAACCCCTAAACCTCGCAATCTAACCCCTAAGCCCATAAACTCTAAATCCTGAACCTTGAGAAGCTGTTCCTCCCGGCCGCAGGATGGCAGGAATGCTGATCAATGCCAGGGCTTTAAACTCGTCATCCGCTTGGTCGATGCCTTTATGGGTTCGTTCAGGGATGGAAGGAGAATTTGGAGCGCGTTGCTTTTTGTACTCCGAAAGAGCAGTTTCCCGGCCCCGTGCTAGAAAACACGAATTTGTCTCCGACGAGACCCCATAAAGAATGAAATGCAACAAACCTATGGGGGGACTTGAAAAGGGAACGAAAGAGGAAAAGAAGGGGGAAAACAAGACGAAAAGATGAGCAGAACTGAACCTCCGCTGAAAAATTCTTCGCAAAGCTTTCGAGACAAACCCTGGAACTTAAACCCTAAGACCCAAATCCAGAAACCCAAAGGCCAGAAAAAAGAATCTTTGTTCAAGAACACCCCTGATCTGCAGGTCTGGATGTACGCCGAAACTGAAGTAAATTGTTCATGATCATCCCTCCCTCCCTTCCTTGCCGCCTTCCTTTCGCGAGGTTCGACAACCCAAAATATTACGAAATAGCGTTTGCCCTGGACTAGCTATCTGCTGCAAGGACAACCTAAAGCCCGAAAGCCAAAACCCGCATGCTTCTTTGTTGGCAGAGTTGCGAACGGGTGCTACAAGATGCTACAAGATTCCATAGGGTTTAACAAGGTCTTATACAGGTTCATTTGGGCTTATTGGAAGGTTCTCATGGCTCGCTATAAGAAACCCTTGTGGGGCTTTAAAAGGGGTTGACGGATTCCGTCATGGGTCATCATGAGTAAGGCTAGAAGTACCTCGGTAGGAGTTAAAGGTAGGTACAGCTGCTGTGATATTGTTGGCTTTCTGATACAACTAAGTTATTTAGATCTTAAGTAGAGACCCCAATCATGGGATCCTCATTTCATGCCTGAATTAGTTTGCGCAATCACCACATACGCTGGTTGGTTTGCGAAAAAACCCTCACGGCCATCCTCCAACATGCAATGTTTCCGGGCTTCAAAGGAAAGCCTGAACTCTTTGAGGGGTTCTGACAGAATGGGGCCCGCTTCGCTAACTTCGCTAAGCCCTGAACCCAGGAACACCAAGGACACAACACATACGGCCACACTGAACATGTAGGTGGCAAGTTGCACACCACGTCCACGAAGACCTTCCGACTGGTAGCGACGAAGGTTGAGGACATAAGGCTTAAGGCTTGAAAACTCTGCGGTTTGGGGCTGGCGGGCAATGGAGCTCGCATGAGGCCCCACGCATGGTCTTTGAGTGGTATTTATTGCCTGGTTCTGGCGTATACATGGAAAGGTGCTTCGGGCTTACCGGATATATCCGAAGCCTACCTGGAGCCTGGGTTGTAGCACCTTAATTGGGTAACCTATTGCTTGGCTAGGAACCGGGCAGAAAAAAAAGGTACAGCAATAAGGGTCCAGGTAGTTCTATCGCATGGAAGACCTGTCATGGGCACGGGGCTTAGATGATGAAGCGAGCCCCACGCCCTACACCTTTGTTAGTTGAAGCCCTCTGTCATGAATCGCAGACACCCATGCAAGCCCCTAAACCCTAAACCCTGAACACTGAATTGTACCTTCCATCCGGCCTTCTTCCTTCGCCGCCATTGAAGGAGAGTCAGATAATAGCCCAGCGTCCTTGGCGGGGGTGTTAGGGGTTGTAGGGTTTAAGGTAGGAACCTAGTTGGTAGAACGATAGCACTTCACCTCATAAGGCTTGAAGTACAATCAGGGCCCACGGCCTAAGTTTGCAGGGGGTGGGGTGGGGGGTGGGACGCAATTATATGCCCCGAAAGAGGCAGAGTTCGTTAATCAGGGGTGCAGTCAAGCGTCCCGAAGAGCGCACACCAGGGATATTTAACACCCTGGCCCACATCAAGTGGCAACACCTGGTTCATAAGCCAAAAGTGTAAGCTGTGTGGGGCTTAGCCGGGACAAGAAATGGTAGCATTAAGTCTGTCAGCATGTTGTCACAAAAATGCCTCGATCACAATAACCGCAGGATATTCTTGCGGCGACAATTATCGCTATGAATATTAGAATTAGAGTCATTAGAGCGTTGCCACTACTACATTACTACTACAACGAACAAGAAGTCGGAGGCACTTTCACACAAGCCGTGCCTCTAGCAGACAAAGAATGCAGGCCACCAGCGCAGAGAGCATCCCAAGCACGCCTGCTGCATGACCGTTGTTCACAAACCAGAGCGCAAAGACCTTCATCCAAGCAGACGTGTGCCAGCTATGGGACCAGAACTCTTCGATCTTCTCAGTTGCGAAGCTGACCTGGAAGTTTCAAATCCTACTGCAAGCTTTGCCGATTGGGATCCGTACGCTTGGTATTACGGACCCCAAGCTAAATACATATAAAATATACTTTTACAGAAACCCCACCTTGTGTAAGCCGTTCACGTTTCCTCGGAAGCCCCTGCCGAAGCATCGGAGCATCGTGTGCGCCCTCGTTGCGCGAATGACATCTGGACGAACGGCGCGCATAGTTTGCAGCGCCTTCACCATCGCAGGTATCAGGTCTGAGCCTTGGTCTTGCGCTTGCCCGGTTTGTTCATGTGACAGTAGCAGCGAAAACAAGGAACATAGAATGGACGGTGTTTGCAGCGATCTGTACAATGCGACGCAACGGTAACCTTTAAACGGGCCCGTAAGCTCTGAGGCATGCGGGATTTCGACTCATTCCCCAGTACATGTGTGTGTCTCAGAGGACCTTGCAGGGAAGAGTAAGCTTCCAAAAGATGCGAAAACCAGAAAACTTCGGATGACAGGCTATAGATCCTGTTTGGATTGCTCTGAAAAAGTGTAGTGTCTCTATGCAAACGACCTGACCTAACCTGTAGCACCCGAATGTTCATCCCCAAACTCGGAAGGAAAACCAAAGGCCCTGGACCCTCATTCCAACAGCATGTGTTGGACCCCCGTCCGGACAGTCAAACTCGAGTATGTAGCAAGAATCGGAAGCGCGGAAAGCGGCAACGAAACTCCAGCAACATGGGAAAACCGACAAACCACAATTCAATAAAAGTAAGAACAAACAAGGCAACGTGCAAAATCAACCATCAACATCAGCCAGCATCCATGAGCTTCAAAAAGACAAAAGATTCCACAACATGATCGAGAGCACGTTCCACGAATGCCTTCAAGAATTATGCTTATTCTGCAGGCAGTATAATGGGTAGTCCTTTCACAAGAAGTTGCCTTTCATTCATGCCGTTCATTTCATTCATTTGATTTCGATCATTCGATCTCTTTCGACTGATTTCATTCATTTAATGCATTTCATTCATGTCATTCATGTCATTCATGTCATTCATGTCATTCATGTCATTCATGTCATCGCTTCATTCGTTTCATTCATTTCATTCATTCATTCATTTCATTCATTTCATTCATTTCATTCATTTCATTCATTTCATTCATTTCATTCATTTCATTCATTTCATTCATTTCATTCATTTCATTCATTTCATTCATATCATTCATTTCATTCATTTCATTCATTTCATTCATTTCATTCTTTCATTCATTTCATTCATTTCATTCATTTCATTCATTTCATTCATTTCATTCATTTCATTCATTTCATTCATTTCATTCATTTCATTCATTTCATTCATTTCATTCATTTCATTCATTTCATTCATTTCATTCATTTCATTCATTTCATTCTATTTCATTCCATTCCATTCCATGTCAATTCATTTCATCTTATTTCTTTCCATTCCATTCCATGTCGATTCATTTCATCTTACTTCATTTCATTTCATCTCATCTCATTTCACTTCATTTCATTTCATTTCATTTCATTCCGTTTCAGCTCATTCACTTTATTGAGTCTTTCTTTCCTTGATTTCATCCAGTCATTCGTGCTGCATTCGTTGGTCTGTCAGGTAGATGGCTTGATGTGCCCAGCAGTTTCTGCTCTTGTTACGGTTGCATTCGTGGCATTGCCAGCAACATCAAGATAACAGCAGTCAGGGAAATCACCGTCACTAAATCACCATGATGAAACCCCCAACCCTGGACCCCAAGCCCGAATTCATTTTCTCCTTGTGGCCCAGGTGCTCGAAAGCACCGTCTGTTCTGTCTCTACCGAGTCTGATTTGACTTTCAGGTCGATCACCTCCGCATCTTCATTGGCACTTCGTCCCAAACACTCCGCAGAAGGTGACGCCATGGCGTCGTACGAAAAACGCTCTCTGCGGCTTAAAAACTTTAAAGTTTCGGTGAGGCGTTGTTGATCCTGAAGCTAGGCTGACATGAAACACTGAAAGCGTCGATTCGGGCTTGGGCCGCACGACCTCTCGGGTAAACCTGAGTTGTTGGGCGCTGGGGTCTAAGGCGAGTGAGGCTGGTCAGCGCCTGCGACCTTGAAACCCTAAAGCGCAAACCTTGCGAGCAGACCACAAGCTGTCTTTCGTCGTCGGATTTACTGTGAGGTCTGAGGTGAGCTGAAGCTCGCCACAACTCCTCCGGGAAATGAGGGCCGTCAGCACTAACATTGGATGTGCTGAGGGGGTTTCAGGATCTTGGGGTTAGGGATTTACGGTTCGGGTTCTGTGGGGAACCGGTGGTTCCAAGGGCCCAGATCCAAGACTTCTGCGGCGTGCAACGCAGGGGCAACGCGGGGCAATGCTTGTGGTTCAAGCCCCAAACCCTTAACCCTACAAACCCTAACCCATACACCCTAAAAACCTAAACTTTAAGGTCTTTCATGTACTGGCGGCTTCTTCGGGTTGCCGGGTTTCGGGTTTTATTTAGGGGTTTAGGTCTAGGGCTTGGATTTCGTTCGGATTCAGAGTTCAGGGGTTTAGGCCTTGCGTTTTCGGAGCTCTGTTTGTGGTCTGCTTCGAGGACACAAAACGGTTTAAGGTGATGAGGGACAGATAATGTTGACGAGTTCCAGTGTTTCACATGCTGTCTGAGTATGTACGGAACAGCTCCGAGGGCGTACGGGCGGCCGGGGGCAAGGCAGCTTGCGTTCAGCGCTTAAAATTCCCCATTCCATCTTCCAACTTCTCCCCCGCAAGACTGTTGTGGGAAAGAACTTGACATGTTTTCGAGGGCGAGCGGTCTCCTGTACACAAGGGCAGCTTCGAAAAGCTACAGCTTTGGATTTGCTGAGGTCATGCCTCTACAATACCATAACGGGACCCCCTTATACCCCACATTCAATGACATTCAAATCAGGGCTCATGAGCCTCATTGCTTTGTGCCGAGGCTGGCTCAGGGATGCTCTCCAGGGCGGCAGACACAGGCTCTGCCGGCGGAGAGAGCTTGCTTAGGAGCCTGGGAGTTGCTAACTTGAGGGCTTTGGGCCAGGTTTAGGGCCCGTTTGGAGGTCTGTAAGGAGGATAGTTAGGGTTCAGGGGTTGGGGTTTCAGGCTTGGGGCTCGAAGGTGTAGGGTTTAGGGGTTAGGGTTTAGTCGTTAGGCTTAGGGTTAAGGGCTTGGGTGAGCAGTAGGAGCAAGAGAGACCGTACTAGATTAGTAGATTATGGACAACTCACTATCAAACCAGCTGTTCTCCATCAAAAGAAGCTTCAGCAAAGATTGTAATCACGGTTACTGAAGAATGTATCATGTAGTCGCTCGCAGCTTCCCTACGGCGGCCGACCCAAACACCACAGAGCCACTAAAGCTTAAACCCCAAGGCCAAGGTTCGCCCTTTCCAAAGTGTTCCTAAATTAGGTTGAGGGCTTATACGTTGAAGGCCTGGGGCTTAGGGCTTAGCGGCTTAGGGTTTGCGCTCAGAGCCAATTGATGTTCATGATGTTCATGATTTCGAAATTGAGAATTGCGAATGGTGTCTGTCATCACACCAGCAAGGGAGTGGGCAAGGTCGTCATCTTGCGCACCATGCCTTTTGTCTTTGTTGAAGTTGTCCGTTCCAGTCCGACATGTGTCAGAGACCGAGTAAGCATGTGCGCACTTCCTCCCGGGCCTCTGGCACTGCGCTACACCTGCTGTGCCTGATTCTCACTCCTGTGGTGCGATTGCACGCTTGAAGAAAAGGTGCTTTGGCTTGGGGTGTCGAAAGCCCCTCCAGGACTCATTCAATTCACCACTAACCATATACCCTGAACCTCTAAACCCCAACCCCAACGAAATCCTCCTGAAGGTGGATCAAAGGGTCTGGGGACCTTCAATCGCACACGTGGTATGCGTATGGGAACCACAGGCCCTGAAGGTTACAATCATATCAACTTCTAGACCCTTCTTTTGAGTGATGATCCCCTTACGGTCCCTGTCCCAAGTCCACCCTATAATCAGGGCAATCAAAAGACCGAATGTGGAGAACTGACTAGGGCGGCAAAGCCCTTCGTGCCTGTCAAGCTTCTCCTCAATCTTGTCCTTGCTCCAAGTTCACCGCCCACCAAAAAGTTGAAAACCTCAACCCCAGACTGAATCTAGAACCTTGAAAACATCATTGGGTCATTGGGTGTTTGCAGAAGTGCTTGTACTTCTTAACATAGAGTTTGTTGTCACGTTCACCCTTCACATCGAATATGAGCATTGAATGCAATGCATAGAAAGGGATACATTACACGCCAAACACCCTTAGCAATCCCTTAGCACCTGGAGCACAGTTGCAGTTCTTAGATTCGCGCTTTAGGGCAACAACCCAAGCCCTGTTGCCCGGGAGCCTCATGAGAAGGGATTGTAATCATTTGCCAGTAAGGATGGCTTCACGTTTGGCCTTAGGAACCCAGAATTGCAAAGCCTGGAGTTCTGGTGTGCCCGAGGCTGGGGAATTTTGAGCGCTGGCTCTGTGTCAACCCACAAGCCTCAAACTGTTTGACTACATCCTACAGCGTCCCAGTCGCGGGCTTAGCTTCGGGTTTCGGATCGAGCAGCTCACCAGGGAGCGAGCAGAAACGGCCCCAAGCCACAGCCCACCGCTGCGACTGGATTTTGAGGCTTTCGCGTTTGACAACACGAGGCGAAGAGCCGCACCAAGTTGACAAGTTAGCGAGTATGCATTTGCAAGTGTCTTGCCTGTTGGAAGAATGACAGAGTGGAGCTGCGGAATGATAGTTGTTGCAGTTCCATCCGCTACATATTCTTGCACCTCAGCATGGCTTGCTCGTTCAGTACCGATATGTACCGATGTTCGGTGGCGTCTGTGCTTTTGCGTCGGCTAAGACCTGGTGCGCGCATGCCGTCGCTGCACATACCAGGATTTACCAAGCGGCTTGGTATGAGGGCTCGGGGGAAAGGATCGCCTGCCTGGAGCCCGGTTCGCAGGAAAACCGTTGGACCTTCCATTTACTTGTAGGCCTGTGATGTTGATGTTACTCGGGCGGACGGAAGACGGTTTTTGCAGGCATGATGCCGGCGGTGAAATCTGCTTCTCTTGGTCCCACCCCTTGGCCATGTAGATCTCTGTTCCAGTACAGCTGCATTAGCCCGTTCCTGAGTACATACCCCCGAGCCTTTCTGTGTAATTAGGGTGCGTGCTTCCGCGATCCAACTGCAAATGAGAAGTGAGAACAAGGATAATAA